GTGTTATACACTGTACGAGAAGCCCGGACTTACGACCAGCTCTCTGACCAGTCGGTGTTATACACTGTACGAGAACCCTGGACTTACGACCAGCTCTCTGACCAGCCGGTGTTATACACTGTAAGAGAACCCTGGACTTACGACCAGCTCTCTGACCAGTCGGTGTTATACACTGTACAAGAAGCCCGGACTTACGACCAGCTCTCTGACCAGTCTATACATGTTAGCGTTTATTTGTAATTCGGCTGATGATTAACATTAGCACTTATCAACCAGCTTGCTGTAACTTTGCTATGCTAGATAAGAAATCTTCCAATATTTCACTTTCACTCACAGATTTTCACCTGTCACATACGGAAACACAACTGTATAAACATTTGTAAATATACTAAAAATGTTATAAGTGGTGCATATTAAAACAATATCTAAAGATGGCCGACACAAACCCACTACTAGTAGAGTTTGCTTGAAATATCGGTAAGGGGGGGCTCCTCGCTTACCGAACAATTCACTTAACGACCTAGTCTTCGGAACGGAACTCGGTCATTAAGTGAGCAGTGTTTAATAAATGATACATTCAGAATTGAACGTGGCACAGTGACTCATCGGAGGATGATGACGAATGGGGTTTAGCTGGTGGGGAGTTGCGGCGCGGGGGCCTGGGACCCACCTGAGCATGGTGAAGATGTAACGAGGGCTGGCAGCGTCTTTACCGCCGTTAATCCGGGTGCCAAACTGACCCAGGGGCTGCAGGATGTTCAGGTTGTTGCTGCCCACAAAGTTCTGGGCCAAGTTCACGATGGTCATCATCAGCGCTTGCTGGCGAGTACAAACGAGGCCGAGGTGGAAAGAAAAAGAAAATGAACAGATACATTCATCCAGGGCTGCCTTCCAGCTCTCAGTCAGTGGGCAGTTTATTAAAATGGTGCCCAGTCCTCCAGCGGGACCAGCAGCCAGAAACGTGACAAATCCCAACCAAGTCCACACATCGATTTGGCTGTTCATAAATGAATTCGCAAATTACCTAATTAATCACACCAATTGATTTTTTACACATTTAGAGCAAAGCATGTAATACATTAAACATAACCATCCATCTTCTAACAGCTTATTCATTACAAGGTCACAGTGAGCCTTTGCAGTCTATCCCAGACAGCACAGGATACAAGACAGGGGACACCCTGGACAGGACGCCAGCCCGTCTCAGCGTTTACACAGGATTACAATTTACCCATGACCTTTGTGTTATTAGCACAATGCTCTACATGTTCAGCTACAGGAGCCCCTAACTCATCACACATCCAACACAACACAACACAACACAACAGATCACACACCCTGGGCAATTCAGAGATGCCAGTTAGCCAACATGCATGTCTATGCACCTTCGAAGGAAACCCAAACAATATAGGGAGGACATGCAAACTCCACAAAGAGTGGGATTCGAACCACTAACCCTAGTGGTCTGGGGCAAAGCTGCTCCCCATCATTCCTCCCGTATATTACTATATTATAGAAAAAGCAGGTATAGAAACTGGATGGATGGACGGACATTTACCGTATATAATAGGCCAGGCAGCAAAGCACCATAATATAAAGGACAATATGGTCTCTGCTAATGTCCTCTCTTGATTTATGTTACATTTCACCAGGGCTGGGAAACCTGACAATTTCATATCCTGATCTATCTTGAAGACGTCCACAATCTACTTTTCATGTGAATCATAGAGATTGTGATCTTTTATGTCCCCCTCCTGTTTCCAACCTTCACATAAAACTCCGACGGCCAGTAATAACGTAGATCCGTGCTACGTTCACATATCAAGAGGATGACTTCCTAGATGGCTGAGCTGATTGGCCAAGTTATATCACATGTCTATATCGCAGGGTCTCTTTCATGCGTGACGTATTTGAAAAACAATTCAATGTGATCTATTGGCATGGCGAATGGGGAGCTGGTACCAAAAAAAGACTCGATTCAGTAGTGTGGCAGTGTTTCAGCTATGCAGAGTCAGATATTTCACAAAGCAAAGTTATCTGTAAACCTTACTGGGCCAGAGTCGGCACTTCTGGAGGTAATACGACACATCGATTCAACCACCTTAAAATGAAGCAACAGATATTTAAAATAAAGTTTAACTCAGGATTTAATGACCATTTTGAAAACAGTCTAATGAAATACTGTGTCGTAAAAATTATGCTAATGAATAAGTCTTTAGACTTGTTCAAGGCTGGATATTCTTCACAGTACAAACTGAGAAGAAAGATTCAGATCGTGGATTGTTATAAAGACCGCAATATGATTTTTTGGGAAGACAGACCATCATCTCAGAGACGGCAAGCAGAGGGAGAGGAGTGAGGGACAGAATCGGATGGGAGGGCGGCCAGCTCACCTCCCCGTGGTGATAGGCGGACATCTCAGCCACCGAGCCGGCTAGCTGGGCCACCTTCACCTCCCGCTTGTCGTTCCTCTTCATGCAGGTGAACAGCACCTTCCTCTGGCCGGGCTTTAGGCCTGGGAACCCCAACGGGGGGGGAGGGGGGAGGAGGGAGGGCGTCAGAGAAACGCCGCCCCACGCGGGAGACACGACGCGGATGGAATGGAGGCGCCGAGGATGCCTGGGAATCGCATGTCGCCACAGCCCCCACACTCGTGCTGAGGAAGAAGAGCACGCCTACCGTCGACGAGGGACGGGATGGACCTTTCGTTGTCAGAGTTGGAGAACAGGATGAGCTCCTTGTTGATGAAGTCGTTGTAGGACAGGTGCTTTGTCGCCGTGCCGTATAAAAATTGCTGGGCAATAAAACAAGCATTTCAGTATCGGCCCAATCAAACCCTGGCTACAATAAAGGCGGTAATAGGAGCACCAGAAACTTAATTAAACTTCAAGTATATAAATTCATGAGTTGGATTACGCCAGGGAGTATTAATACTGGGCCAAGAAAAAAACCAACAGAGCAAAAAGTCATTAAGGGTCTCAGCGAGTAGTGAGTGAGTGAGTCGGCCAGCAGAGGGACATTTCTGAGCTGAGTACTGGCGCCCTCTATGGGCTCCACAGTGCCCTGCATCTGCTGTGGCCTCCCCTGTGCCAGCCTCCCTCACCTCCGGCAGGCCATGCATCCTTCGCTGCCTCCTGTCCTCCATGAAGTTGGTGAGCCACTCCTTTCGGTCGTCGATCTTCTTCTTGCTGAAGGCCTGGGCAGAGGGCGAGGAAGGCAGGGATGTTACTCGGGGCCCAGGGCAGGCCTCAGGGATGTTACTCGGGGCCCAGGGCAGGCCTCAGGGATGTTACTCGG